ACACACACACACACACACACACACACACACACACACACACACTCACACACACACACACACATGCACTGCTTTTCTCTTGTCTGTGTTATGTTCGTACATTTTCCATTGTTTTAGTTCAACACGAAGGAGCAAGTTTCAATAACCCTTTTCTTTGACTTTGAGATTTTGCTTGATTAAAAAAATCTTCTTTTTTTTGCCTGGTGGAATTGGTAGCCATTGTTTCCTTTCCATTTCTCTTTTGGTGGCAGTGGCAATTGCTGTGTTTGAATTTAACGCTGTATTCACTTCATGTACTTAACTTTCGAATTCATAATTCATTGGGCCATTGAATTTTGTTTGAAGTTTGGAGATTTTGTTAGCAATAAACAGTATTGGCATTCTTCGGGCAGTGGCAGAATATAGTTTGTCAAAAAGATAAGAACGGGGTACACATTATATCATCTTTGTGGTATGATAAGGGAAAATATTGCATTCTGTTTCTCTGTTTTTCCCTTGTTCGTGGTTCATCTCATACTTTTTAACTTTCAGGCTTTGGGATTCCAAAAATGTAAGCATATTAATAACGACTTTCATACTGTTCATATCGGGCTTGCTGGTCCTCGATTGCACTTTTGTATGACCTATTTGAGTTGCAAGTGCCATAAAACTCTTACTCGGTCCAAAAAAAAAAAGAAAAAGAAAAAGAATCCCAAACAAAACAAAAGCACCAACAACAAAAGAACAGGTAAACGTTAAGAAACAAACAGCCAGCAGCCGCCACTGCCACTGTCCTGGGGTTGTTGTTGTTGTGTGTGTGTACGGGACTGCACAGCGTGTGGGTGACCGGGTGTTCCTCTTCCTCCTGCCCTCCTCAGGTGGTAGTCTTCTGCTTTGCCGTCTTCATGGGGAGCATGTCTCCTTCCACGCTTAACATCGGCTACGCCAGCTCGCCGCCCCGGCTCTCCTTTGTCCAGCAGCCTAGCCAGGTCAACCACGGACACCACGGCGACCATCATCCTCACCCTCATCCTCACCACCACCACCACCACCACCACGAACATGACAATCACCACGAGCCAGGGGTGATGATGGGTCCGCACCTCATGCCCAGGGGCTACGGGGACAAAAAGCATTTAAAAAAGAAGAAAAAAAAGAACCAGAATGAAGTACTAACAGATAAGCTGTCGTTTTCAAGAGTTGCGCACGATCCTCCGACAGACGTGGGGCGGCCACAGGCTGCAAACTGCTGACGCCCTATTGATTGGGGAGGCCGAAAAATCGTTCAGAGCTGAGAAGTGGTGGTCCAGCTCGTCTCAGTGAGGCCTGTCTGCTGTGTCCTGCTTGTGGGATTTCTCGAGAGACGGTCGTTCGCCCGGAGACCGTCGTTTGCAACAGTTTGGGAGTGAGCGAAAAGACGCTGTCGGGGCAGAATTTCACCAGCCCCCCCCCCCCTTCCTCCTCAACGTCCCTTCCCCTTTCCGACATTTTTTTTTTTTTTTAAAGGGGTGGGGTAGGTTGTACACATCTGACGTACGGACGCGAACACGTGCTCCTCACGCGTGCACTCATGCATGCGCGTACGTACATACATACACTTTCACAAGCACGCACGTGTAGACACACACACGCTCGCGGGCAGGTACAAACAGCCTCTCTTTCTCTCTCTCT